CTGTCTCGGCTGACTGACCGCATCCCCATCGTCCACCTGTTTCTCCAGAGTTGGAGTCTTGCCTGCAGCATTCTCGAGATCCGTGCTGCTTGCCTGGTCTCCATGCTTTCGAGGTGGGCTTGAAGCATCGCCATTCGCGATCCAAAGAAGGTGACCGCAGTGGTTTTGGACAAGACCTGCATGAACCCTGTGGCGTCCTCAGTGTGCTCTAGGTTCTGCATCATCTCAGGCATCTCCCTCTTTCGTGCTGGTGGCCTTTTCCTATGCACTCTCGTCTGGAGGAGTGCTTCCATATCATCATTGTTCTCCGCAATGGTGATGGCCCTCATTATGTCCGCCCACATGATGCCCAGGAACCTGATGAGGCCGACGTAGAGGCCGGCTCTCTCCACCTGGTTCATAGCAGACAGGGTATCCACAATGGAGCCAATGCTTGCATTGGTCAAGACCGATCGGTTGGCACTTGAGTTCATGGGGTCCGTGACCCCACAAACATCCGGTATTTAGGGTTTAGAGGTTAGGGTTTAGGGTTTAGGGTTTAGAGTTTAGGGTTTAGAGTTTAGGGTTTAGAGCTTAGGGTTTCGGGTTTAGGGTTTTTTTTACGGGACCTTTCTCCAACTGCATACAGTCAGAAAGCTACTAATAGCCAGGTCGCTGCAAGTTCCACTTCACCTGAACAGCCCGCACGACACCCTCTGGCCAGAACGCATCACACATTAAAGGAAAACGAACACTCATGGCAGTCCCCTGACACTAGGTATCATCAATGCAAAGCAGCCCTTACAACAACGCCCATGCAGCTATACAGATACCCTCATTGTCTGCAAGGGACGGAAGATGCCATTATCCCGAGAAACCCTCCAGTGCTTGAGCGTACCTACACTACGCACCGTCCTAGGTTCAGGGACGTCAGTACTCGCCGCGGTGGGAGGCATGTGCATGATCGCTGTATCTCCATCCACAGTCACTGCCAAAGCCAGGCCGCCCGAGTGCTCCATCAGCGCCGCGCCCACATTGCCGCCTGGTCCACACCTGGCAGGGCCGTCGCCATGGGCCCAGCTGCACCACCTTCCAGCAGATGCCCTTCAGCTACTTCCATCTGGTCACCGTCCATCTGGTTATCTTCAGCCCTCCGAGCGTCCTCTCCACTGCCCTCGCTCACGCACGGCAACCCGTTTGGCTCGTCCTGCGCACTTCCCGTAGCCCTTCCGCTCGCCACGACCAATCCACCACTTGTATCCGCTTCCACATCTCCTTGGGCATCCCTCACTTCTTCTCCCGGCGCTCCATCTTTCAAGTCATCACCCTGCTCATCCTCATATAATTGGGTCAGTGCATGGTGGCCCTGACTTTCAGCGAACTCTTACTTTAGGGTGTAGGGTTTGGGGTTTAGGGTTGATTTAGGGTTTAGGGTTTAGGGTTTTTTGGGGGGGTTACGGTTTAGGGTTTTTGGTTTAGGGTTTAGGGCTTGGGGCTTAGGGACCTTGACCTTCCTCAAATCGTAGTCCTAGTTAGATGGAATGATTTCGGCAGGTCGTATGTTGGTATTATGACGACCACCAGCTGGAAAGGGGATATTCTGAATGCAGCTCATATGCTCTATAGGCTTCACAGGCTCTTACTAGGAGTAGGCAAATGTCAAAAAGCTGGTGACTTCTTGGGGATCACTATTAGGGTCCTACTACTTACTGTACGTGAGCACACCACTCATCCGAGAACTGACAACGTAAGACCCTTGTCAGCCCCTCAGGCACAAGGCCGACGTGGCCCCATCAATACAGCGCGATGGAAGAAAAGGTTTGGAGGCCCTACAATCAGGAATCTCATATTTTGGGGTCTCTATTACTTAGAGTCCCCTTATACTGGGAAACTACCAAATACAGCAAATAGACGATTGCAAAGCGATCAGGACTGCAGACATCGCCACCAATGCTTAATGCTTAAGCTGTGCAGCAGCCTCTGCTTTGCGAAGGTACTCTGGGAAGGAATCCTCCGACAGCCAGCCTGAAGACAAAGAGCAAGAGGGCAATTCCAAGAGGATGACAGGCTTGGGCCCTTCAACCAGAGTCGCTGATCCATCGTCGCATCACTTACAAATGCAAGGAGGAGTCACATGCTGTGATTGATCCCGTCCTGAGGCTTGCCGCACGAAGTAGCTGCTAGTGGCCGGTAGGAAAGCTTCCTGTGCATTCTGCAAACTCAGCAAGGACACGTCTTCAGTGAGTTCATGCTTTATTGATGGTAACCATATCCTCCGATATAGCCTTCCAGACAGCTAGCTATGTTCTACATCAATTGCTCCACTGCACCCTGCAATTCGGCTTAAGTGCAACCTCAACTCTTCTGCATCTAGGGCCTCAAACTCAGTGTTGTACAGGTTTGAGCTGTTAAGGCCAAGGTCAATGAAGATCTCGATCACACCTGGCATGGGGCTTAGCAAAACGTCGGTCGAGCTGCAGCAGCTGTTGAAATTGGCATGACCGCAGCAACGCTAAATATAGCAACACACCACTCATGAAAAAAAGCCTTACAGTACTGCTGAACAATGGTGACGTCGGGCTAGCCCAAGCAATAACCAGGATGACAACAACCAGAATTCGAAAACAGCACCTGCCTTTGAAGATGTTGAAACCAGGAATGCATTTCAAGCAATAAGCTCCTTGTGAAACAGGACCCGGCAAAAAGGGAAAAATTTTGTGAATCCAAACGTCTCTGCCTGTCTCAGGCCGAACTTTCCCAACCATACCTAACTTTAAAGCTGTCAATGATGATTGGACATGGTATCTACGACTACGATAGAGAAACATCACGAACCAAAAACAACCCAAAACGCAAGAAAGCATCCGAAGTGCAAGATCATGACTACAATCATGAAAGATGTGCACGCGGCGCATCACAAATAATGACGGTGATGATGGTCGTGATGATGGGGACGACAACAATGCTTGCTTGCCCTCATTCAGTGGTGTTACAAGCAGGAAGACTTCTTGAAGGACATATATCAAGAGTTGGAGGAGGCAGAGCAGCAGGCAGACAAGCAAAAGCAATGCATCAACAACAATCAACAGGATGACGAGTATGGCAGGATACGGATACTGCTCGAGGGTTCTGCTGGCTCTGACTCATTCCTGTCCCGGCCTTTCACGAGATCCTGGTCAATGTGCTCGCCTGGATTTTACTGGACATGAACGGAAGATCACGTGCAAAAGATGCTTCCAAAGGTATTTCTGAACCAATTACTCCAACATTCAGGCCGGCGGTAAATCCAAAGCTTGGCTTGGCAGACGGTGAAGCATCTTGGTGCCTTGTCGCTCCTGATTGATGACCTTCAGCAGCGCTGATCGTGTGTCCTTGATGACACTCGAGAAAACCTGACAGGGTATCAGAGGTTCTGTCACAGGGTCGCTCCACTCTGGCACATGGCACTGCTCTTCCTGCCTGCTGGTTGAAAATGCTATAGCCCCTGTTGTGCAGAGGCTCCACTGACTGGAGTTTGACATAGTACCGATCCTGCAGGATGGTTTCATATGCCTTGCTTGTTTTACTTGTTTTGCTTGCTCATCTGAAACCCTACATTTGCGCACTCGCTCGTGGTTTCACATGTTTGCAGAACGCGTGCGGACAAGCTAAACTACGCGGGAGAGTGGATGGTCAGTTGATGGTTACTCCCAATCCGCGCTCCAAACCAAACGGATCGGATTGTCCAACGGAACCAGAAATCAAAGTGAAGTCTGGGCTGGACTCTCCGAATTTCGGCGAGGACACATAGCTTGCACTGGCTGGGGGCGCACCAGATAGGTGAAGAATCTGTCCATCCACTTCACGTAGATCTTGTGGTTCACCCACCTCGCGATATGTGTCGCTTCAAGCGGCTGCGCACGACAGCTGAAGCTTCCTTGACTTGGTGACACTGCGAAAGAGAGCTAGCGACCTCATTGCAGTTTTTGAACTATGCCTACCTGGACCCTGTCCACCGTGCGGACTGCGCCTATGCAGCAGCTCCTTCATCAAGGGGATGTCTGTTTTATCCTTGAGAGCTGGCAGGACCTGGCAGCCAATCAAGGAGTCTGTCTCTTGCATCGGCGGACTTGAAAACTCAACAGGCTGAGGAACAATCACAACACCATGCTAGGTTCTAGAACAGACCATCTTGGTTGGAACATGTTGGAACACTGTCACGTGCAAGAGATGCGGAAGATTAACAGCCCTCATTCATGCTTTGACCTCCACAGAGTCAGGGCTCCAAACAACTTCAGAACATTGGATCCGCGCACCTGCCGCTGGACGTAGTCTGACATTGCCTCTCCGTAGCGCCGGTACAACTGCTCAGACCTGCATCATGAGCCAAGGAATCTGAGGCATGGTTCCTGATCCGGAGACCGTTCAACTCTTATGGCGACTCTTGCGTTCACACTGGCTGCCAGGCAAAAACATGCGAAGATAAATTGCAAACACCATGTGGGGCGCACCAGTTGTTTGGCGTTCGCTGAGTGCACATGTTGTAGACTGTCCTCATTCGCACGCTTGAAAGTTTGCAGCTTCAAGGTCGACAACACACGAGACAAGGTCGAAGCGCCATCAGCAATCTCGGGAACTCACGTATATAGATCTGCATAATTGGCTTTGCTGAAGACATTGCGCGGCTTCTTCGGATCTGTGTTCTGGGGCACCTGAACAGAGGGATCCAAAAGCTTCCCTAGGTTTCTATCAGGCACTGGCTCTGGGCAGCCTGACCTGCTTCTAGAGAATGGAGGCTTCAGATAAAGAGAAAAAACTGACAGAGCGTCTTGTCAAGGCACACTCATCAAATGCAATCACCCTACACAACTGGCACATTTCTGCAAGGCCCCCACGGTTGATCTTATATGTCCGGTGTCCAGAAACTCTTCCAGGACCTGCATGCGGTGGGCTGACCTGTACTGTTCTGAGGTCTAGCAAGAAACTGGCCTTGATTCCTTCGTTCTTGATCTTCTCCCATCCGTCCTGAGAGAGAAGCATCGGTCCCAAGAACTACGCTCGAAGTCCCGTAAGTTCGCAAGGGTCATGCAAAACATAGACAGCACAAGACAACACCAATCCTCCAGCGGGACGATGCTGGCAACTGACCTAGGATGGGTCATGCAGCCACATTTTCCCGAATTGCAGACGTTTTCGCAACAAGCCTGAGTGGCTGGCATGTCGGCCTTCACGTCCCCAGAGCCACTAGACTTAAGTTGCAACAAACAAGACTACTACAAACACGCAACTTGAGCCAAAGGATCGGGATGCTGGAATATTTCGCGCTGCATTGAAGCCAGCACTCTACTTCTCTGACTGTATAGATCATTGCGAACAAATGCTCCAACTTCCGAACGGTCGTTGACATTGCAAGAACATGCAAGAACTATGGGGCTTGGGGCCTGAGTGTGCTTACTAAATTGAAAAGAAGAGAGCACCGCCCAAAAACAAGTGAGCTAGTCTAAACTCCCACTATCAACCTTAAAACCCCTATACTAGTCCCCTAAATAATCTCGTATATAACTCTTTTAAGGAGTTAAGCTTCTGGCTCAAATGTCTCCTCTAGGACAGCTTTTTTGCAACCGCTGAAGCGCGGCGTGGTCCTCGAAGAGCAGCGGTGCCGTGTGTTGTGCAGGCAGCCTGGGCCTGTCAGCACAGTTCGGGCACAGCAAATAGTAATGGTAATAGTCATGGTAAAAGTAGTGGCAATACTATCATGGGTTATATGGGGACTACTATAGGGACTTGGGATTATGGGGTTACATAGGGATAATGGAAAAGAAAATGGAAACACCTATTTAGGGTTTAGGGTTTAATGGAGACCCATGATTAATAAACCCCCTCCGTTCAAGGGGCTTAATATTAGGATCCTCTATTAGGGGGTCTGGGTTACTAGAAATGGTAGTAGAAGTGGCAATAGAATTATTCATCGAAATAGAAATAGCAATACTAATAGTAATAGTAATGCTGATACTAATACTAAAAATCATAATTGTAATGTGAAGCAATAGTAGCAGTAATAGTATTGAAAACAATCGTCTCCCCCCACAATGGCATGCTTTTGAACATTTTCACTTTTGGCATTTGGGCCAGCCCGCTCCCATTCCTGCTCCCCTGAACACACCGCAGCAGCTGTGGAAGCGCAGAGTGGCCAGGGAGGCTGTACAAGGTGGACCAGCCACTACCGGCTGGCGCACCACACTTAGGATGGCTCCGCAGGCAACCCTCCGATGTACAGGTTCGGAGGAGGGTGTGACGCTGATATGCACATGGCCCCAAAACTGAAAAACAGCCAATCATTTGAAACCGTCACTGTAGATCCGCAGGCAACCGACCACCTCGCCGGTGAGTTTCGACCCGGCCAGGTCCCCGGGGCCCTCGGATAATCCCTTTCCTGATCAAGGCACACCGAGTGCCTCGCTGAAGGCCGTGACGATGGGCGAGCCGTTGGGGAAATCATCTTCAGGAAGATCCCAGAGAAGACCCCCGATGAGGCCCTTCTCCTTGATGAAGGCCGCCTTGCATCGCACGCTCACCTCATCATCAAAGCCCATCCAGAGGTCATCCTTCTGAAGATAGGCCCCACAGCGTGCAGAATCGTAGGACTTCACGGCGCCCTCACGAATGAGAGTCAGGATCTCATAGTAGCTGGCAAGCCCATTCTGTTTGCTGATGGGCTGTGTGGCGCCATATCCCTGTCCTGCTGCCCCAACCCCCTGACCAGGCGTGCTGCTCTGCAGCTGGAAGCTGCGGCTGTATGTCACCAGGCCAAGGGCCAGTTTGCTCACACCTGAGCCAGTTGAACACAATCCTGCACTTACTCTAGTTAGCCCAAATAGTCACAAGTCTTCCCTTCCAACAAATCGGGCCCGTGCTGGCACCGCGGCCGATCCAGTCGTTCACAGCCCACTCGCCGCTCAGCGGGATCCCATCCCCGAAAGAGTCCCCCAAGCCAGCATAGAGTTGGCTGTGGATTGCTGTCTTCTCTGGAGCCCAACCCCCGTACATGTCGTACGTCATCAAATTGATGAAGTCCAAGTTCTCGTTGAGGGCCGGGACCTCGTACGCGTTGTCTGCGGTGGTTGGCCCAACTCCCACCGCAGCTGTCAGAAGCAGCGGCACCCTGCCCGATGCTGCGCCTTCAGCATTGAAGGCAGCACGAAGCTCATGCAAAAGCGTTGCAAAGTTGGCTTTGTCCGTGGTGCGGCCCCCACGACCAATGAAGCCCGGGTACTCCCAATCCAAATCCAGGCCGTCAAAGCCCCAAGTCCTGCAGAAGTCAATGGCGGAATCCACAAATTTCTGACGATTTGCAGCTGTGCTCACCATGTCTGAGAAGACAAACTCGGTCCAGCCCGCATCAAGTCGGGACATGCGACGGGCACTCTCCGCATCCTCGCTGGCAGGCAAGTTGAAGGACCAGCCGCCAATGGAGATCAGGGTCTTCAAGTGCGGGTGAGCTACCTCAGAAATCACTCAGCTCTAGCAAGATCCGCTATAGACTCCTGCGTCAACAATTGCCAATACACTGCATGCTCACTCCGAGTGGCCTTGAGGTCGTTCACCTGCTCATAGAGACCTTTGGTACAGCCCGCGGGCTGCTGGCTGCAAGGCACCTCCCAGTTGCCAGTGCCCCAGTTGCTCACGTCATTGTCCTCAAAGTGTCTGATCTTGAACGTGCTGCTGTGGATCATCGCAAAGGCATAGTTCAAGTGCGTGATCTTGTCTGCGGCAATATCGGACGGCAGGAACTTGTAGGGAGCCGGCCACCACTGGAACCAGTTCGCAAAGTAAGCAACAAAAATCTTTCCACTCGGCGTGCCACTCTGAGTTGTTGTTGTGGGAGCTGTGGAGCTCGACCCCAGAGTTGTGGATGCAGTGCTCGGAAGGCTGCTAGTAAGAGTAACACTAGTACCAGCCGTGGTGGATGTGGATGTCTGCGTCACTCCACCGCAAGGCACGTTAGAGCTCCAGTCGCAGTTCCTCAGGCTGGGGTTGAAACGCTGGCCTTGCACGCAAAGCTGCATGGGTTCATTTCCATGGAAACAATTGAAATATCCCCGGCAGTCATCATTGCCGGGCATATCAACTGGAGCTGCAAAAAGGCCCACTTTGCCACTGCAAAACTCGGAGGGCTCGCTGGAGCTTCGACTGGTAGTTGCAACAGGAGGTGTGGTTGTAGCTGGCACAGTTGTCGAAGTTGGAAGTGTCGTTGTAACAGCCTCACAAGCAACGTTGTTCTTCCAATCGCAGTTCTTGGTGGCTGGATTGAAACGCAAACCACTGCCACAAAGCTGCATGGCTTCATTGCCATGAAAGCAATTGTAGTAGCCCTGGCAGTCCACGTTGCCTTCTGCCGCTGCTGGCGCGGGATAGAGTCCAGTCTTCCCTTGACAGAAGTCGTCTTGGACGGAGGCTTTTTGACTGAGAAGCCGCCTGTACTGCACGAAGCCTGCACCAGCTGTGCAAGAGCTGCCTCTGCAAGGCTCCCGCGGGAGTTCCTGCTCTGCCCAGGCAAACGTGACAATCACAAGTACCTGACACAGCATATTCGCTGCCCCGTTCGACGATCCCACAGCTACCACGGTCACGAAAGGCTTCCTGAGAGCCAAAACCAAAAATAGCACCAAGAACACGTCTAAAAGCGATGCTTGTGAGGCTCATGGACTGCAATCGCAGTCAACTTCTCATCATGCACTGCCGCATTTTGCCCTGTTTCGCTTGCCAGAAATCTCTGAACCGCGATGCACATTTTTGTCTCAAGTTGAGGGCATCTCCGTGTGCGTCAACGAAGACAATGTGGGAGAGACAACACATTCCGAAGCTACCTTCGTAGTAGAATTGCTACTCCCCATCACTGACTAAAATGCGGCAGACAAGGGTCTACAGACCAGACTATCTCAGCGCTGGTGCCGGCATGTTCAGATCATTTTGCCGGATCTACTAGAGGGACCCACAAAGTGGGACCCTTAATGTTTGGAAAGCGCCTGAACGCCCCATATACCCCTATAACCATCCCTAAACCCTAAACCGCCTAAACCCCAAACCCTAAATCCTGACTGTCCCCACACATCCCTACATTTCCCCTTGGCCTCGAATTTACCTAGATCCCGGCCAGCCATGGCCCAAGACACCTGCAAGCCAGGAGCTTCTTTAAAACGATGGCTTTAGGGTCTAGGGTTTTGTGTTCTGATGGGTTCGGTCGTCGGGGGTCCCCGTTTTTATGGAAACTACAATTTAGTCCCACCACTCTTCGCCACAGGGAAATTGAGGGACTCAAATTTCTAGCTTGTGGTCACTATCAGTCGGTGTGGGGGACCCCCCAGATGATGCGTCGTTTGGGAGAAAGGCTTCCAACACATTTTGAGGCACAGGTACCTAATCGAGAAAAAACAAAAAAAAAAAAAGGGCC